CGGATGCCAGGGAACTGCTTTGAAGATACAATGGTTCAAATTCCCTTTGTATCCCATTGTTCTACTCAAGCAGCTTCTTTCTACAAACCAGTGTGTTGTGGAACCAACTCCCAAGAGGATGCTTCCCTGATCACTACAATCTTAACCTGTCCATGTCTAGGGTTGACCGTTATTTTCCTCATATATCCCCATAAACTGTGCCTCTTACACTGTATCCCTCTACCTGGAGTGGCTCTTGGGATTTGTGCAGAGTGAACATGATTATAAAAAAAAAAAAACCTTAATTTTTATTTAAGAATCCATGTCCCTTTGGGACATTGGTGATCATGGTTCTCCACAGACTCCTTTTTCTTTAATATGTGTGAATTTCCCCGACTTCTTGGGGAAAATAGTGGAATAGTTTTTTGTTGCTTTCTCCAGTTTTGAATTCTGAGTAGTTCTTCTCTTAGACTGGATGCTAACCAAAGCTAGAGAGACAAATCTACCCTTTTTGGTCCTTGTTGGGGGAAAATAGGTGAACTCATGTCTTTCCCAAAGGCATTACTGTAAGAGTGTAGGCAGCGGGTTAGACTAGAATTTGAAATTGGCTTCTGAATTTCATCTTTTGCATTCAAAAATCATTATATTTACTACACATTCTTTAATGATATAAGTCTATATTGTGTCTTGTCACAAAAAATTGAACTGAAATTATTTAGACTAATGAAAAAAAAATGTATCTAAAATCTTTCTATTTTTACTAAGCTAAGCTTATGCAATAAAAGATAGAAAGATTATGTAGCACCAATACTCAAAATGGACATGGTGTGCCTGTCTTAAAAATCAGTATTCAAAATCCTTTTTTTTTTTTTTTTTTTTTTTTTTCAACTCTGATTCATCAAACACTGGCCACTTGATCTAATGAAAAATATGCAACTACTTCCAAGTGCTCCACACATGCTGCCTTGTACCATACTAAGCTAATTTTTGTAAGCTAGTCTAGCAGTGTATTATTGTAATGTAATAAGTTTGATCTTCATGAGATGCCTACAATTTTGGCCTTGTACCAGACTAAGTCAAGTTTACTGAAAATCAATGTGCAACTCCCTCAGCTATAAATAAAACAATAGATCATCATTACAAAAGTTTGTGCCCAATTAGAAAATTAAAAACAAAATTTTAAATGCTGACAAAAACATTTATTAGTTAAGTACATATTTTCAATTGTTTTTAACAACCATCTCCCATTGTTCTACAAGCTTGTTGATGTCATTTTCATAGAAACTTTGTGTTTTTGTTGAAAGAATGTTGTGAGGTAGTTTTCAATTGATTGTATAGTCAATTTTTTTGTCATTGTTTTGTAGAGACCAGAACAACAACAAAAAAAAAAGTACCAAAGGAGCCAAGTTAAGAGAATATGGTGGATGCTGGAGGACTTACCATTTCAACTCTTTAAACTTTTGCAGGGTCTGTTTGGCAACATGCAGTCTTGCATTGTCATGGTGGAATAAATGACACCTTTTTGCTTTACCAAAATTGTCTGTTTTTCTTGAACCCAAGTCTCTTCAAATCACAAAAGATAGTTTAGATATCAATTTTCAAACTCTTAACAATTCCTTTCGGCGAAATCTTTGGTTTATTTTCCACTATGGTAAGCAGAGGATCTTCATTGATGTCAGAAGGTTGGTTGTTTAGGTTAAAATCACAAACCTGACAAAATCTGCCAAACTGCTTTTTGGCTATCCAAAAAGCTAGAGCACAATTTTAATAAACACTATGAATGGGTTTTGTCACAGTTCTGATGCTTACTCCTTTCTAAAATTCATAGAACATAATATGGTGAAAGTGCAATTTTCATCCTCCTTCTTTAAGGCATTTATTTGTGGACAAAATGTCGACGTTCAACAAAGCCTGGCTCTCAATTGAACAATGCTGAGGTGAATAAAGAAAAAAGCAACCAGAGAGTAAATTCAAGCTCTCCCAGCTGGTATTTCAACCTTGAGTCGTTCCTTCTTGAGTTCTGTCTCAAAATCACACTAACAGACTGTTCTTGCCGCCAACCGTGAACGTCACTTGAAGAACTGCCCCACTGGGAAAAAAGTAGTTGCTTTTATATTTGTCCATATACCCATAATCCCTTGCGTCTTCATGTGATCCCATAATTCATTGTGTCCATGTCCCATAATGCATTGCATCTTTATTGCATAAAAATGCAATGCAAGTCCCCCCTCATTCTTTTACATTATCTGGCCAAGGACGGATTATGGCAGATCGGTAAGCACTTTTTTCTCCCTCATTCCAACAGCAGTAGCTTTACATGCTAAGCAAATACGGGCTCTTTTTTGGCAGGGACAAGGCAAGTCGCGACCAGTTGTGCTCGTCCCAGGTTCTGTCTTATGTCCGTCACAAATGCAGTGTTTCAATCTAGAACACCCCAGAAGTCAGCACCAAAATAAACACCAGTATCAAGTTTTGGTCATTTTCTATTAACAATGAACATTGGGCACACACTTTTGTAATGATCTACATCTATGTACAAGTCTACAGAAGTAGAGTTCCCTGAAAAGACTGAATTCACTCCTATATGATCTGAGACCTGCTTGCTTCCAGTATATACCAAACATGGCTATATATAATGGGCAACCAGGGTGCTTTAACTTGCTAACTATCCCTCTTGTTATATATCACTTCATAAATAAGTTTCATAGATTTTTGGTAATTATTATTGGTTACTCTCAGAAACAGTTCTTAGCAGAAATTTTTCTCCCAACTGTCAATCTAAGAATCCTCTAATTATTTAACTGATCATCCACTCAAAAGTAAAGTGGCACAAGGCTAAGTTTAATGTGGGACTCTCATGAGTACATGGAACTAGGGATAAAAATTGCTTAAGCCCTGTTGATACTTCCCCTTTATGGGGATGTTTCATATGTCGGGGATTAAGCCTAGACCCTTCCTGACAGATACTGCCTTGCATCCTCCTGAGCTAAAGAGGAATAATTTCAGGAATACCCACTGTTTCAGTAAGTTCATTTATACATTGCCCTATTAGCCATCTCTGACTTACTGGAGTAGTTCATTGAACAAGGGGGTGATACCCTAAACCCCTCCTTGTCTCTCTAGGTTGCTTTATACACTGTGAGACAAAAGTCATGCACCATAAGGATAATTTATTAAAACTATAATTACACATGAAAATTTTATTTACTAGTTATTTGATCGTTATATGTGCTGTTGAAAAAGTCCTCCTTCTTCTACAAAACACATTTCAATACTGTGCCTGCATAATTCATTAACACGTCAGAGAGCTTCTACTGTCATTTTACTACCTTCATATTTAATTCTTTCTTTAAGTTCCTCAATATTTCTTGGGGGCAGGGCTGATAAACAACTGATTTCAAATGGTTCCACAAAAAAAAAAAAAATTCAAGTATGTGAGATCTGGTGAGCTCAGTGACCACTCAACAGGACCTATCAAAACAAATTAGATATTTATAACATGATTAGTTAATTAACCCCTATGGTGTACAATTTTTGCTTCACCCTGTATATTGCCTTGCTAACCCACCTCCTCCTGTGATTCTTACTGGAATAGCTCATTGAGCAAACACTTGATATCCAACACCTTTCTGCCATGTGCCTAGGCAGTGCCTGTCTTGAGTTTATGCAACAATGAATTTCAGGAGAAAAATAATTTGTCTGTATTTAATTTAATTGGCCTGATGATCACTGTGAACTCAATTAATTTGAACATAATTATTTCTCTCAGCCAAAGGGGTGGGCGTGGAAAGCTTCACACGCAAGTATAACAATTAGTATCATTATTCATTTAAAATTCCATTGTTTTAGCTCAGAGAATATATTTTGTGAACAGCAATAACCCCACACCAATTTCCTGGATTTATCTTTCCAACTGCTAATGACGACATTTGTAATTATGCAACAATGTCCAGTGTGCCCCCACATATCTATTTTTGTAGACATACATATATATATATATATAAGTAATGGTGATAATTGAATTACATCTCTCCAGTCATGAATCTATCCCAGGTGTTGACTAGCAAGGATTTTTACCAGTGTACCTCGGAAGACTTGACCACATAAAACTTTATTCACAATATTTAGGATCATGATTTGGATGCCTGCTACAGTGCAGTGGTTAGCCATCTAGTTTTCCTATTACATAGTAAAGAATGAAATCCTACATTTTGGTAATGAGTGATAATGTACCAATTCTCAGGTTCACTATCAACACATCTTGAATACTATTAACCCTAACATGAAACTATTATGACTAGGATACTGTTTCAACACTAACACAGGTCTATTATAACTTGGCTACTTATTCAAAACTAACACAGAACTATTATGACTAGGCCACTGTTTTGATACCAACAGGACTATTATGACTGGGCCACTGTTTCAATATCAACACTGGACTATTACAAGTTTAACAACAATAACTGTTACTTATTTTTGTACCTGTAGTTATCAATATTTGTTGTTGTTTTTTGTTTTTTTAAACATGGTTATTAGGGAAATCAAGCAGGCCTTTAAGCTTTTTGAAATGATAGAATGTTGTAGATAATAAATGCAGTAACTATTGTTTCATTATTTTGGTATGATAATATATTTAGCAAAAGAATCTTGACTATTGGTTTATTATTTAGAGTTGTGAAGCCTGTTGTTGAGTAATGGATTTGTGTTTAGATGTTATTGATGCAGTACAAGAGCAAATAATACATTGATTGTTTTTACACCTTATCTACCTTTAGCAGGTTATTTAAAGCCAGAAAATATTTTTAGATTTTAAGAATTTTGGGGGGGATAATGATTTATTGATACATGCCCTACTAATTAACCCATAGCTGTGGGGAAAAGGGGTGGATTCACAACTTTCCCAAGTGTACTTTCATGTAAGTGAATATAAAAAAAAACAACTGGAATTGTAACTTGATCCTTTCCAATTTCCAATTCCGGACAGTTAGCCTTTACATCAGCCATATATTTAAGTTTAGAGCACCTGGTTTTCCCAAGTGGTCACACATCCAGGTACTGACCAGTCTTGACATTGCTTAACTTCAGTGATTGTATGAGAATCTGTTTTTTCAATGTGATATAGCCGTAAGCAGCAAATTATACAATCTCTACTCACTTCAGTCCATCCTGACAACACCACATTGTGAATTGTCATGAATTTAATACTGTGTTACCATATCTTCTTTTTTGTCTTGAATCTGTGTGATTTCATTATTTTCACATCTGGAAAAGCTGTCTTTGTGCCAACCACAGAGGACACAGATAATCTAGGATCAGCCAGAAAAGACTGGTCACTCTAGAATTTTGTCAACTTTTTGTTCCAATGTGTCAAATCTGATCTATATTTTGACCATAGTAAGTCAACTTGATCTATACAGTTGAACTTTCTTATTTTTGTGTTGAATAAGAGATTTTTGTTGCTTGGCTTATTAGTTGCTTTTACAATATGTTGGGTTAATCTCATTTAGTATAGAGCACCCAGTGACTGAAACTCTCAGTAATAATGGTTAACCAGACAAACCTCACTATTATCACATGCCAAGGTACCCTTGAATAGTTGATTGCTACTTTGACATCATATCCTGCTACTTCTGTTTAGGTGAGGATCAGTGTGTATAAATAAATGGTTGGCAATTGAAGGACACCAACAGCAATTGATTTGGCATTATTAGTGATACAGTGGAAGGAAGGTGTTGCTGTTCAAGTAACCAATATTTTTTGTTACAGTATCAATCTGTTCAATGCTGTTCAAGTAACCAATATTTTTTTTGTTACAGTATCAATCTAATACAAATTAGTTCACAGAAAAAAAATGGTGTCCAGTTCATTTTGAGGTGAGAACAGTTCATTACAACCTTCTCTAGATATATAACATTATTCCTTTTTTCCTTCTGGTTGAAGGTTTGTTATTATTTTTTCATAAAAAAACGTTTTAAGTGTTTTGCTTCTATTTATGTATTTATTAATGAATTTTAGTTGAACAATTAAGAGGCTGAGTTATGGTTAGATGATGCAAAATATGACAAGTGAAAGTCACATAGAAAGTCTTGTAATTATTTGTTCTCCAGTTATACTATTAAGAATTATTTATTTCTAACATGTTTTATTTAAATCTTAACTTTTAATTACAACTACTTAAGCCATATGCTCAGTGAAGAACTATCAAAGATTACAAACACAAGATAGGAGCATGTATCTTGGTGGTCATTGCTGGTGAAGTAAGCAAGAAGTTGTACATCAGTTTATAGTATGGAATCCAAATGATGGAAAAAGATAGACCAACAAGAACCTTCATTGGTCAATGCATAGATGACGCCAAAATCAGAGGAAGAAAAAAGAAATGGATAGAACTATGGATAATAGAAATAGTGGAAAATAAGTGGTTTGAAGTATTTATTTGAGGACAATCAGATAGATAGACAAATTAGATTAAAAAAAAAAATTCCATCAACAAAACTTGAACTTGTATCATTTTCACTTTGGGTAGTCTGTTCTTTCCATAACAATTGCTCCAACACTTCCACTACAATTGTTTTTGTAGTTGGCAGGAGATCCAATCTAACCATAGAGGCATGCTCTTCATTCCTTTTTGATTGCTTAATGTCCTATTTAATGTTATTATTTTTATGTACATCAGTAATATTAGTAGTAGCAATATTAGACGTGTTATGTTAGTAATATCTGATAAGAATACAGATATATTATTATACAGCGATATTCACTCTGTGCAAGGCTCAAGAGACACTTAAGGTAGATGGATACAGAATAAAAGGCATTGTTTATGGGGATATGTGGGGAAGATAACTGTTAGCCCTAGACTTGAACATATTTAGATTGTAGCAATTGAGGAAATATCCTCTTGGAAGTCAGATCCACAAAGCAGCGGGGTTTGTGGGAAGAAGTTGCTTGAGTGAGATACATGAGGAATAAGTTTAGTTTGCTTTAATGTGCATGATATAATGGGCAGTCATGGCTCTCCACAATTTCCTTATTGGTCAAAAAGAGAAATCAGTGAGCCAAGTCCAAATTCTGACTAAGTTCATTACATAGTATTTCAAATAAATACTATTAGGAAAAGTATAAATACCTCTTTTTTTTCTTACTCAGGCTGAGGGTTAATGGCAGAGCAAACTGGGCTCTCTAACTTTGGATGGCAGCAAGTATACGTAAAGGAAAGACTCTAAATTTAAAATTATGAAAAAGAAAATGGGTCTTTGTTTTTTGTTTTTTAACATTTAATCTTCTTTTTGCCTGGGTGAAGGGTTCTTCTTCTCTTCTTATAGATTGGGCATTTATATAATTTCTTGTTATCCAGATGTCTTGTGTATGCACATATCTAAAACTCAGCTGGGTTCACTTCTTTATGTTGGGGCACCCAACGAAACCCAATTCTGTATTTGATGGCTTTGAGGTTACATTCTAGGTCAACCCACAAGGCTCCTAGATCTTTTGGCTTTCTGAGAGGAGACTGAGTAAAAAAAAAAAAACATACTTTTTCAGTACATACTGGGGTCACCACAGATCATCTCTTTTTAGATCAAGATTCCTGATAAACATTAAATTTGATTCAGAACACTAGTAATTCCTGGAATTAATCACATACTCATTGGCACCTGCTTGCATCTGAGCATGAGGATCTTCATCCTCTCTCCTTATTCCCTTTCTCCCTTCTGGTGGTGGTGGTGAAGAAGAAGACTGTGAAGGCCCAGCATACTCCTAAAGAGTCATGAGAAGGAGTCATAGAGTAGTGTGGGTAGTGGATGTAGCTGGGTAAGTTCGGCCCTCCTGACAGCATGTCACAGATCCATACTTTTGGCTTGTGCCACATCTAAGCTCATATTTAATAAACCTGCTAAATTATGAAATTCAAAAATCAAACTGTAGATCCCACTAATTAATAAACATTATTTTGTTAAATCCAAGACAGTCAGCAAACAACATTGCATGAAACTGTATAAAATAACAAAGAAAAACTTACTTATTTTTCCTTGCTCATATTGAAACAAATTAAAAGGATTTTTAGAAGTGGTGTTGTAGATGTAATCTGCACTATAATTTACTTTATATTCATAAATGTGTACTTCGTTGTGGTGTAATGGTTAGCGAGCTTGTTTCTCTAGAACAAATATGACTGAGTTTTGAGTTTGATCCTTACTGATTTTAAATATACTTTCAGTTTGCGCCACATCTACGCTTATGCTCATATTTAATGAAATTCAAAAATCAAACTGTAGATCCCATTAACTAATAAACATTGCTTTGTTAAATCAAAGACAATCATCAAACAATGTTATATAAAACTGTATAAAATAGCAAAGAAGACAAACTTACTTATTTTTCTTTGCTCATATTGAAACAAATTGAGAAGATTTTTGGAAGTGGTGCTGTTGATGTAATCTACATTTATAATTGATATAATTGATAATTGGGGAATCTATAAAACAGTATTTGTATAAGAATCAGAAATCATGGCTGATGCTCTTCATGTTCAGTTTTCTCTAATACAGTTGGAAAAGGCATGAACTCATTTCATTTTTTGTTGAGTGTATTCTTGGTTGTGATTGAAGCTTTAGTCAATTTGTATGTAGAATAAAACTTTGATTTAAAGAACTAATTAGAGGGGGAGAGTGCGTTCCTTAAATCTAATAAATTCCTTATTTCGCAAAGAAGAAATGAATTCTGTAGATAACCACATTTAATAAACATTGTTTTACTAAAACCAGGACAGACTGCAAGCAAATAACCAGTGTTACAGAAAAATGTATAAAATATCAAATAAAACAATTGTATGTACCTTTCCTTGCTCATATTGAGAGGATTTTTAAAAGTGTAGATGTAACCTGCACTATAATTTACTTTGTACTCATAACTGAAGCTTAGTCAATTTCCAAAATTTCATATGTAAACAATCCTATCAATTTTGATGGTTACTATGCTAATACCTTGTAACTTAACATAGACTCAATAAATGATCTTTTCTAGTATTTATCTAATATTGTTGAGTAAAAATAAAAAAGTCAGTTCATTATGGACGATCCACAAGTGGTTCCTTAAATTTGATATTCCTTAAATAGGGACATTAATTTGAGGTTTTATTTTACTGGTAGATCAATAAAAACTAATGTTTTGTCATGATGCTTGTAAAATCCCCTTCCTTGGCTTGATGCACAAGACATGCTTTCTTTGTCCTCAAACTAAATATGTGATGGTGGTACAAATTTGATTGGCTACAAAATCAATGTAATTGGTGAATCTATAAAATACAGTATTTGTATAAGAATCAGAAATCCTGGTTAATGCTGTTCATGTTCATTTTGCTCTGCTGGAAAAGGCATGAGCCCATTTCTCTCTGTATTCAGTTTATTGTTAGATATCTTGAACAAATGTCTCATCACTGATATTAACAGAGAATAGCGTGAGTGCTTAAGGAAGCCACTTCCCCATAACTGCTCAGAAACTTGTTAATATCCCTAAAAGATTAATCAGTTTTAATATCCTTAAGCATTGGGTTATTTACAAACATTGTGGAAATAGTTTATAATACCTTGTGGGTAATTAAATGACAAAATGGAAAATTCTATGGAACATGCTTCGTCCCTTAAAAGGACTTCATCAGGCTAAGATAATGTTCTTATTGATAGAATTATATCTGGGGGAGGGGGAGAAATATAAACGAAAACGTTGGTTACGATTATGCACTGATAGAAACCACTGAAGATATAGGGACATTAAATTTTAAAATTTCTGGCATCCGACATGTCTCAACACAACAAAGATAATAGTACATAGAAGAATACATCTCAGAGCAAGGATTTTCATTGATGACAATGCATTAATTAGTTTTTATTATTATTCTATGAATTATTCTGACTAGTTTATTTAATCTTTGATTTTTTTTATTTTTTTTATCATTTTCTTATCCTTTGCCTTTTGTCATCATCCTCAGGTTTATTCTAGATCTGGACATCAAAGATTCATACAAACAGTAGCAAAGAGAAGAGTTTTATCCTTAGTTTCCTGTTCAAGATTGGGTTTCCAGTTCCTTCTAAAGTCGACTTCAGTTCTATATTTCTGATATCTCTACCTAAA